GGGGTGGTTCAGTCGTCAACCATAACCGTCAACCACTCTGTTCTTCCTCGGTGGAAGACAGGTGAAAAAGGCGTTGGGTTTTTCGAGAAGCCGTAGATCTTATAATTATCGTGCAGATTTTCATCTTTCTGTTTGTGCTGTTGAAGCGTTTGACCTATCGAATTGCGCATTAGTGTGCCCTTCCAGGCTCTGAAGAAGTCGATTTTGCCGAAACGTCAGCTACGATGGTGTTGTATGTGTGTTGTTGTATGGATGTAAACGTATGCTGTTTAACAATCCCGCGATTGCTGAGAGAAAACGACGAATTCATAATGCAATGTTTAATTTCCGCTTTACTGCCTATTCTTTTTTCATTGCAGGGTATTATGTGAAGTGTAACTACAGCAATGATGAGATATGAGCAAAATTCGGAAACTTAGGTGAACTTTGGACCAGTGATTAAACCCAGTTAACTCGAATTCTTTCCAATGATTTACCGCCCCATCGTGGCTAGGTGGTGTTTCTGGGTATCGGACTGCGATGTACAGCGGGGGGATTCATCTCCCGGCAGGGTCTCCCAAGCTGAGAAGGAGTCCGGCTTTTCCATCAGGAAGCCCAGCTAAGAGCAATTCAATACCAGGATCCACCACCGCCCTGGTATCAAACTAGTCGCATGGTGGTTGACCTTCCTCTGATCCAGAAGGACGGGGACTGTCTGTGATGGTGACAATCTGAGGCAGGCTTTGGCCAGACTGACGTCGAAACTCGAGGAAAACACAATGGCTAAGCCAGCAAAACTCCGAAAAATAGAGAATATGCTGGAGCCCTCACAACGAGTGAGGACGGGCCGTCCAAATATTCAGGTATCCAAGTAACTCGAATTTTGTCGCTGACGGATAATTGATTTAGAGTAAGAACTGGTTGAGAGAAAAGCAGAGTAAGTACCTTGGTTAGTATGATGGAAAGTACTTGAGTTCACAGAAAGGGTGATTTTGGGTTCGTAGCCCACCTGAGGGTCTGAGTTTTGCTTATATCTCAGCATACCTGTGGTTGTTTTTCACATTCTCGTTCAACTTTTTATCCATCAATTAATGTTGCATACATATGACATGTGTCCTTCGAAATGATGTTAAGGATGAAATGGCTTGCAATTCTCTGGTTGTGCTCAGTCACATGGTGGAAAACAACGAAAAGAGTCACATATTCATGGAAGCTTCCTCAGCGAAAAATGGAGAGGGTCGTATTAAAATAGTCTCCACTTGTACCTATCGCGCAGGAGTGTAGCCTAGTGAGCGGTTGGTCTCTACGTGACATACTTAGTGGAGACCTCATAGAAAGCGGCTCTGAAGAAGGCGAAATCCGCCGAAACGTCAGCTTAATCGTGAACAAAGAATAGTAACACCTCGCGTTTGCTCAACAAAAATACGAAGAAAATCACTTGATCAATGCCGAGGTTAATAGAAAGTCGGTTGTAGCCTAGTGAGTTCTGCTTGCTCTCCGGACTCGTTGAATATCACGTCTTCATACTGGAATTTTCGAAGAGACTCTTCCCATCTGGTCGGCGACTTTTCTGCAGTTCTTTTGACATTACGTGAATTCCATTTGCTAACGCGTGTTGTCCATCTGTGGCTTTCAGATTCACTACATATCCAGTTCACCTGATTTTCAACATTTTGGTGTGGACAACAGCGACTGCGACTTACAACTCCTGACGTAGGTCGTAGCTACCAAATCCATTCCTCGTTTTTGTAATGCAGGGTACTCATATCACCGTTCTTTCGACTACGCTTTCTACAAAGCTGAGTGATCTTTCACCACGCTTACGTGTGGCAACGTGGTTTCTAACGTACACATTAAGAGTGAGAAAATCGTTGATTTGAAGAGGTGGACAAAGGGTAGGGTATCCTTAGTATTATTCACAAAATCCTTGATGCTGTTGAAAGCTCTCTACGCCTTTCTATTTTCACTGCTCGGCTCTGGAGATAGGTTATTTTTCATGTTGATTCCCTGGCCTACTTAGACGTGTCACTTGTCACCTGTGTCACCTGTAGTCCCGTTGATCGTCGAGTGACTCAAGCGGGCACCAGTAAATCATCCAATTTTCTCTGTCGCGTGCAAGAGTAGCCCAGTGGGTTCTTCTCGCTCTAGGGACTCGTCGAGCATCATATCTTTCTTCAAGGCTCTTTGTGAAGAACTCTGACCATCGGGTCGGTGGTGTTCCTGCAGTACGTTTGACATCCCGAGGAATCCAGTCACTAGCGACTCTTGTCCATCGGTTGTCATTCATACGCATTACGTGTCCGGCCCAACTTATCTTCGACTGCCTGGCGTGCCGAACGGCATCTTTGATTTTTGATCGTTGACGCCGATCGGAGCTTCGGATCCCATCCGTTACTTGTGTGGAACGGGATTCTCCTAGCATCGTCCTTTCGACAGCGCGTTCGATAACGCTGAGTGACCTTTCATCCTGCTTACGCAGCGACCAGATTCTGACGCATACGTAAGGGCAGGAAGTACCGTTCAGTTGAAAGGGTTGGCACGGAGTCGGGTGTTCTTTGTTCTCTTCACTACATCCTCGATGCTCTTGAAAGCTCCCCAAACCGCTCGTTTTCTTCTGCTCAGCTCTGGAGCTAAGTCGTTCATCATATTGATTTCCCGACCTTGATAGATATAACTGAAGCATTCGGAGATATTCGTTCCGTTGAGCGTGAATGGGGCAAATGAAACCAATCCGTTCTTTATGAACGTCGTTTTGTGAGATTTAGTCGAAGACTAATCTTTCCACGGTCTCTAGCAAAGTCATTAAGCATACGTTCCGCTTGGCTAATGTTTGGTGTTATAAGGACGATGTCATCAGCAAAGCGAAGATAATGTAACTGCCGACCATTGATTTTCACTCCCATATTATCCCATTCCAATGTTCGCATGACGTTCTGGAGGGTGACGGTAAATAATTTTAGCGAGATGGTATCGCCTTGCCTAACTCCTCCTTTGACTCCTTATCAGCCCTATCAAGAGTGCTAAAGACAGTAAAAAAAAACTTAGACGTAACTGGAGTATTCGGAGATATTCGTTCCGTTGAGTGTGAATTGAGCATAGAAAACCAGTTTCTCATGTACATTGCCTTTGTAAGCCAGTCGAGAACCAAACCTTCCAAAATCTTTATTTATACCAGCCAACATTCGTTCTGCCTGGGTAATGCCTTGTGTTATAAGAAAGCTGTCATCAGCAGGGCGGGGATGGTGTAACTACCCACTATCGGCTAACGTCCGAAGAGTCGAGCCGATGTGTTTGCGAGGACTGTCGGAATGTTCTTCATGTGTTCAGATTTTGTACTCTTTAGACCAGGTGTTGTTCGACTTTTCACCGAGGAAATGTCATGTCGGAATTCGAAAGGGAGAATCGATGAGAAGACATAGCCGTCCCTAATTTCGTATAAGTGTAGGAGGGCATAGTTATTAAGAACGTCAGAATACTCGTTGAGGATGATTCTCTTCATTGCCTTTCTAGAAGCTGTAACTGCTACGTCTGCACTAAAGGTGCAATCATTTTATTCGGGCAATTAGAGAATTTTCGGGGTGGGGCCGGGGAGGGGAATCCGCGCCAGGAAATCGCCCAAAAACGCGTTTTAAGCGTGAAAAACGCGCGCTGTCAATAACGTCGGAGCCGCACTGTCTAATGTACCGCGAACGAGAAAAATGCAAAAATTTTAGTGAAACCGTAAACTATTTTCGGCCTCTACGGATCTCGTTAAGTTGCACTATAATACTACGATATTCGGTGTCGGTCGAGGTAATGCTAGTGTGTTTCGATCCATTAAGGTCTAATCGCGACGGATTCTGATACGTAGAGATCAGATGTATTGCTTTTTGCACAAATTAGACCGTAATGGATCCTAGAACTGTTTTTTTTAGTCTTTACAAATTTCGCTGATTTTCTCTATGATACTACGATACTCATTTTATTCGGGCGGCCAGAGAATTTTCAGGTGTTGCAAATGCTCCTTCTAACCTCGCTAACTTCGACCATTACTGTTCCTGTTCTCTCCTTAAGTATCTTCTTTTATTGCTTTCTACAGTCGTCGCATCGAATCTATCTTCTTCAATGGAGCACCACTTTGTGCTAGCTGATAAAGATGCCGACTTCTGCAGGATGGATTGACTGATAAAAACATGTTATTATAACTGTCTGTCTGTCTGTCTGTCCACTGTCTAAACCTATGATCATCATCATTCCTCAAGAACAGTATGGTTGGCCCAGCAGCACGGCTCTGAGAAAGGCGAAGTCGCTGAGACGTCAAACATCGAACACTGGCTCTGGCAACAACAATAACGATAAGAACATCTATACTAATGAAGCGTCAGCTAAAGAAGAGCAGCCTACGAGGACATGCATATTGATTTATCGGTTATTTATGGTGAGATTCATATAAAGTCGCTCTTTCGAATCACTATTATCAACAGTAACCGTGCTGTATAAAAGACCATCGCTGGGTGAGACTAGCCTCATTCAAGCGATGCTGCACTGAGAAACATTCTATTCGAAACGAAGACGAAGACGCCACATCGACGAGACGAGCGAGTGTGAGTTATCCACTCAGATCATATATTTTAAGAAGAAGACGATGTGGAAACATTAACCGAATAAACCTTTTTATTAACCTCGCGATTGCTTATCAGTAAAAGAATACACGTCTTTCTGCAGTGTTTCGTAAGCTGGGAAGTGAGTTGGCGGTTACGTCTATCTTGTGCAATTCCATGGTAGAGTTCCAGCTGGAGTGTTTCTGAAGACGTACGGTTTTTAATGACCCTAACTCTCACTCTGACTCCTAACTAATAACTCTCACCTTTATAGTACTGACTTATATGAAGATATTGAATACGAAGGTGGCATTTATCATTTATTTTAACAATAACGAGCATTTTCCAAACAGGTAGTTAAGGACCTAAATAATCCCTAGACTATAGTGACTTTGGGATTTTGCGTTTGAATTTGACGACTTTCTCTCCTTTCCGCGAAAAATGGGACCTTGCGCGAAAGAGGTGATGATGTGATCCCATGTAGCAACCTTGAGCCTTACTGAAACATGCTTATTTTATTATGGTACTCTCTAATGAAAGACTCTCACGTCCTGTGGCCAAAATGACGCTTCCAGAATTTTAAGGAATGGTCTTGATCGTTACCACAAACTTCCTATTCACCACCCTGGACTACATAAAATTCCAGTGCTTGTGCAATATTTGCTTACAACAGGATGTTTTGCTGACGGAATCGCTAATTTAGAACCGCTTTTTTGGAATGTTAGCCAATCTTCCTATTGCAGTGCCATTCTCCGTCTCTTTCAAGAAATACCACGTTGAACACCATCGCTATTTAGGTGGCGAGTTTCTATTACTATTATCTTTAATTAAGATCACAAACATGAGTTCAACTTTGTAGGCCCATCATTTCCTTGTGAAAGTGTAACCGTTTAATGCAAATTGGCTTGGAAATGGAAGGAAGACAGAGTTGGTTATGCCCAGAAATTTACACCAACAGTTGTGTTTAACCGATATGTTATTGTGATTCGATAATAAATCCAGAAACGTATTCAATTGAGACTCTTAGTCTGAAATGGTTTAGATTTGAAATGGATTTGCATGATCCATAAAAAGGCTTCATGTTTTTTACACATTTTTTTACATGACCCGAATTCACGTTTACTGTGCGGATCCCAGCACTTCTCACATTCAGCTCGTTTCCTGCATCCATTGTCCATGAAGATCTTCCAACTTTTACGTGTGACTTCGGCTGCTGCTTGAGGATCTTCATTTCATTTTGAATGTCGTAGAATGATGGTCGAGCAATTCTCCCTGGAGTCCTGAGATAGCCCGGCTGAAGCGTTTCCAATTGGATTGCAGAGAGTAAATTTTTCCCAGGCAAATCGGGTACCAATATCCCAACTTCGGAGGGACGAGAGACTTGGTTGGCCCTGAGTGGAATCGAACTAGTACCGCGCTCGTTATAATGGACATCACTACCACTGTGTTATCCGCCTCCTGTTACCTATAAATTATAAATATAAATTACTATATCAAAATACGTTTCGCACAATTTTTTTGAAAAATATGTCTCATGAAAACTCTTCTCTCAGGTGAAGACGGACTGGACACCGGTGTTCCAACCGAATTGGAGGCTCAACTTTTCACAACACCAGCTCGGAAGTTCTTTTGGTTGCTGTTTCAGCCGTTTTTCTATGCATTTAGGCCACTCATCATCTACAGAAAAGCACCAAACCATCTTGAGATCACCAACGTGATCGTCCAGGTGTCTCATCTGTTCTCGAGCTCTCCTGAATTCGAAACCAGGTCGCGACTGCCAATTTCAGATCGCCTTTGACGCATTTGTGCTACGAATGTTTGGAAATCAGTCATTTCTCTATTTGATCCTCGGCACTCTTGTGGCGATGGGGGTTCATCCGAGTGCTGGTCATTTCATTTCGGAGCATTATGTTTTCAAAGGAACCCAAGAAACATACAGGTGATAGCAGCTTTTTTCCAACGTGTGTTTGGTTTAAAAATTCTATTTCTTTAAGCTACTATGGTTTATGGAATTTGTGCACATTCAATGTTGAATATCAGGTAGAACATCATGATTTTCCCTACATTCCTAGGTGAAATCTTCCGCAGGCAGGTGTTTTGAAGCAATGCACCCTTATGTTGTAATTGTAAGCAGATCCACTGGTAGAGGTTGGTGAAGGAAGCAAAAATATTTCCAAATGCAATAATGCTGAGTTATTTGCGATGCTGGGGACCGCAGGAGTTTGCGGTAGGGAGCGAACGCGCTATTACCCTTTCCTTGGGCTAACGCTTTCACCACCACACCATGCTGCTCCTTAGTTTCGCCTATCTCTCAGCATATTTCCAAATAGTTAACAATTGCTTATTGGGATATCTAGAAGACACTTCACTACATGTAGCGCGAGCTTCAGCACACTTACGATTCGTCTCTTGAACGCTCGAATGTCTAGTGTAAGCGTCTCCATTTATCCATTTCACATGTCAAAGTAATTTTTGGTCATTACTTAGGAATGGAAAGCGTCATACTTTTCTCACGATCATTGTGAAGAAGTTCGACCAACTGTTGACGGTTCCTTGTTCTGCACTTGAAGTTCATAGAACACCGTTGTTAAGTGTTCTTCTACGTCGGTTGAGCCGTACATGACTTGCCTAATGATTTCCAAGTTCTCCGGGTATACGATGGCGTCAATGGCCAGTTGAAAGATCGGAACTTCTCATTGCCCTCTCAATTGCTTGATACATGATCCGCCTATCGATAGCGTGTCCTATATAACTAAGTGATTTTTAACCTTGGGGGCATGGCATTCAGGTTTTTTAAGCTTACGTAGGAAGAACATGGTCGAAAATGGGTAATCGTTTCTTGTATTCTACAAAATTTTTTCAGTGCGCTTGTCTCTTCTTCGTTCGCTGTCTCTCTCTTCCTCTACAGTTCCCGAGGGTTGTTTGTCATGTTGTTTTCTTGCTCAGGTGAAAGTCGCTGTGGTATCCGGTTATGCTTGTTTCGTTGAGCTTAAATGAGCCATCGAAAACGAATCCCTTCCTCATAGATCTTATTTTTTCCAAAACCATCGTCGATACGATAACATCCTCGATGGCCTTCGAACTTCTTTGCGTGTGGCTTTGGCTGCTGCTTGATTAATTTTCCGTCGTCATCGCCAATCTTGTTGAATGCTGGTCGGATCGATTCCTTCTGAAATCCTGAGATAACCGCGCTAGGGCATTCTCACATGGAGTGGAGAGAGTAGACTTGTCCCACACAAGTGTGGTAGAATTTTCACGAAGCCAATAGCGATTCGGGACTTGATGAAAACGGTGCAAGTTCGACCAGCGTCTGGGTAGGTTGGCTCGTCCTGGTAATGATCGGTCAGCTAATCGACTATGAATAAATGGAGGAACATTTGGTAGACCGTTGACAGTTCCAATCAAAGCGTATTTGTAGGTATGGAAAATTGCTTCGGAATTCTACGCGAGCCTGTACACTCATTCATCATGGACTAAAGTCTTGTGGAACTTCGTCTTTTCTCCGGACATGGGACCGTACATGCGTCTCAAGAGGGGAGCCAGTGTGGGTCAAACCTTTTGTCCACGACACGCTCTCAATGAGTACTACGAGGCAGTGAGTAAGATTTCGGATTTTTTCAAGTTCATATTTTATTCAGATAATCTAGTCGATCCACTTAAGAGGATTTTTCAGCTGCTTCAATGCAGTGGATTCAATGAGATGAGGCACTATGCAGCTCAGTGGCTGGATGTGATTAATAATAGAAAAAAAATTGACTGACTACCGCCGTTTGTACAGAGACTAGGCAATTACGCTTTTGATTACCACTGTGCTTTTTTTACGCTGTTGTACAATGCTCTCATGACAGTATACTGTTTTTCGTGGCTTTGCTTTAGGTATTTCACACAGATTACTAGGAGCGAATTTCATAAGCAATTGATGAAACGGTGAGCGAAAATTTTTTTACTATCCTAAATCCTAAACCACAAGGGAGGGTGTGACGCAGTAGTCGGAGGCGCCCTGTAACATGCACGTGGATCCGATCCTCGCGCCCATGACCCACCAACCCTTCCATCCTTTCGGAGTCGGCAAATTGGTACCAGATCTGTCTAGGAGGATAGCCATTGGCTGAATACGTCGATAGGCCACCGCGAGTCATTGTAAAGGCCAGATATGCCTTCAATCATCTCCAAACGATGCTTAATGAAGTCGAGTGCATAGCGCATCCTTTAGGGATTGATCAACATCGAGAGTTTTATTAGAGCTTAATCAGCCTTATACTAAACCATACACGTTATTTTTTTTATTAAATATTAGAGTAAATGTACCTTAGACACTTAATAACCTGGCACACCCACCTCTTTTAAGTATCGTATTGTACTGAGCAAACTTGAGCAGAATAAAACGACTGTTTGCGAGTTTGTGATCGGAATATGTAAAGCATTCAGTAATTTTCATATAATGACAACGGCTGCTTAAGCTTGGTGAAGCAATCAGGGGTTCCCCAGCATGGTTTATCAAACCAGCTCGCTTCCCTGGGTGAATATCGGGTTATGAATAATATGGCCGAATGTGAACCACACTAATGTGAATGTGAACACACTGTGAACCGCACGGAGTGACACTACTGCACACCACAGTGAGTAGTAATTGTGGATAGGAGTGAGTTCCCCAAATAGTTTGCGTTGAGGTATTCACGAACAATGCTGATTCGTAAATCTTATGCTATTGCTAACGTGCCTTTTAAAGCCGTTGTTGTAGGTGCCTGTGAATGAATGTTTGCATTCTACATGAACAACTTGTAGAATAGAATACTTTCATCAAACCGTTCATGGGTATCACGTTTAACAATCGCTCACGACATCTGTTGATTGATTTCTAGAGGATACACTGAATCTGAGCTCATTGTCAAACTGAGATCGTGGGCAGGTTGTTAGCTTTGACATGGAACTAGCCTCAGATTTAACGTTTCCAACTCAAGGGATTTCTGAATTCTTCTTTTGAAATCTTCTATTGTTCTAACTTTTTAAAATGTAATCACTTTCTACCTACTGCCTTTTCCTTTTTCACGGCGGGGTATGCTGCGAAGTATAACTACAACGATGCTGAGATATTTGCAAAACTCCGAACCGCAGGTGTCAGCGGTGGGATCGAACACGCTATTACCTTTTCCTAGCTAACGCGTTCACCACCACACCATGCGGGTCGTTCGTTTCGCCTTTCTCTCAGGCGTGTTTTATAGATCCTATCTATTTTTTTCATTGGTCCTTGTAGAATATCCTTTCAAATATTTTCTGTAATGATTTGCAGCTTAGTGAATGTTATAAGAATGGTACGAAGTTTGTAACGAAGGTATCTGGCAAAATTCTTCCTTCATAATTTAATTTTTGAGCAAGTCGTCTTGGTGAGCTGCCACCCGAGAAATCATCTTTTCTTCAATAAAACAGTTCGTTTATTAAAAGAACGCATATACAAATAGACAGCATAAGATAAGAGTGAACAATGAATGAAGTAGATGATATTCTATTCTGAACTGGCCCCATGTTGCTCACATGCTCAGAGGAGGCAGCTGGTGAACGCGGACCTTAGTGCTAGGTGTCCCAATGCGCCCAGCCGCAAGCTCTTCTCACCGCTTCCTTCCACTGCTTCATGTCAGCCGCTCGCTGCCCATCGTCAGTCCGCGGTTCGTATGAAACGGTCTGCAAAAGTCCCCAGCATTCATACATTCCCCTATTAAAGCGGATTTTAAATTCTGGCAGTCAAAATGAACAATAATTTGAACGAATTAGAAATATGCGGCTATCACATACTGCTAATTATAACTAAAACGCCGTAAGTGTTTAAACTACCGAAAAAACGGCCAACTGATTATCATTTCAATGTTGTTCCCGCCGTAATGTTATTTTACTGTAACTTTGCGGAGGCGTATATTTATATAACGTATATTTGTTAGAGGTGGCCTGCACTACACAGCTGATATTCGCCTGTTCGATCACCACCTCGGGAGCTCAAACTTTGCTTCCGTGGTCAGAAAGTGCGCTTATCTGGAGTAACACTCACTGGATACATTTGTAGATCGTCGCAAGCTTCGATATAGGCGAAATATGCATCCAATATTTTTTAGCGATGGCTGATGAAGTCAAACGTATTATTTTGAAAAGATTCATTAACACCATACGCTATGCTCTATACGCCTTTTTAACTCTTCCTCGTATTCATTTCTTTACCTATAAGACCCAACTTCGCATGTTGAGAGGATTCCTGCGCTGTTCTTTTATTCGGTTTCTTGTCGCGCATTCATCATGCACACTGACCTTCGGTGATACGTGTGGGTTCAGCTGTCAATTGAACACTTTCCCTTCTTTACTTCTCATGCCTTTCCCACAGGTTACTGGGCTATGGTGATCACACAGAGCTTTTTCTGAGGACTTTATTACCAATTTGCTGACCGAAGAGGAATGGACGGCTTTGTTGGGCACAATCCGGTGCTGAATCAACGACCATACATGCATGTCTGCAACTATTACGCTTCCCACTCTATTCCTGGTAACTGTTTGGAAACACAGGGTAAAAGTGTTTCTTTTTCATCTCGCGCCAAAACTTTACCGTTACCTGATTAAAATTCTTTCGTTGCTTCAGTAAGTACGATAAACGCAAACGAAACTGGCGTCATACCGGCGGTTCTCTAGAAGAAAATATGTCTGCGCATATTTGTTGAAGGCCGATACCAGCCGCCACTGCTGCTCCCCACCCTGTGATTTCCGTTATCTTCGAAGTCTAGAAGGAAATTTCGAGTATCCGAAGAAGTTTGGACAAATCTACCGCATCAAAAATACACCTTAATGCATTTTCCGATGACATCGGCTTGAATTTCATTGAAAAAAACATTAGCTGTCATTCCTCCATCAGTCTGAAGTAACAAGAATAATAACTTTGTAACAATCAATTCGACCCGCTTGAGAGAGTTTAGGATATTTTTAGGACAATTTAACCTATAAGATCAACTATTCCAAAACAAAAACTATCGTATCGAAATATCGAGCCTTCCAATTTGTTGTCACACACATTCCACAAGAAACGGTTCATGAAATTTTCGAACACTTGAAAGTATATGTCTTCTAATTAATACGCTAACAATTGACCGACATTCACAACATTCAGACGTGTTTAAAAGATTAAACTCTCTCAGAACTTTTTCCGAGAAACATTTTCCAACCACAGAGATGCATTGCGAAACTCCGGACTGCAGATGTCTGCGTGGGGAACAAACGCACTATTACGCTTTCCAGAGGCTAACGCGTTCACCACTTCACTATGCGGGTCCTTCGTTTCGCCTGTCTCTCAGTTAGTTAAAAAATGTAGTATTCAGCAAACAAAAAGCATACGTTTTTCAATTCATATGAAGACCTACCCTGAAGTTCTTGATGGGGGTATCGCCGAGTTCCCGCTGAATGGCATCGAGCATTTCAGCGCTTTGAAATGCGATGGCTCGAAGAGCAGCCAAACAGACGTGAGCTTTTGTTGTCACCTGAAACCCTTCAAGTCTTCGCGGCGGCCTCTTTAAATAGATTTCTTGCAGATCAGTTTACTACCAGTAAGGCTTCGCACTTATTTCCAAAATCGGACATAAACACATCGTTCCTATGAATTCATGTGAATGAAGTCACTGAAATCCACGTTACCAATGGGATCAAGTCGTGGCAAAGTGCATTACTATTTTACTACTATACTTGATGCTTGATACTAGAACGGCCCATCATCACTAGTTGTGCGGGCGCCAGCATCATCACCGTTTTTCGGAGATTTGCTGGTTAAGCCATTGTGGTTCCCTGGAATCCCGAGGACAGCCTGGCCAAAGTCCGCCCCAGGTCGTCACCACGACAGGCAGAAACAGCCTTTGTGGATCAGAAGGAGATTTACCACCACGCAACTTTGATACCAAGACGGCGGTAGATCCTGGTATTTGTTTACTCTTAGTCAGGCTTCCTGATTGAAACGCCTGACTCCTTCTCAGCTTGGGAGACCCTGCCAGGAGGGCGGATCCCCCCGCTGTACATCACAGTCCGACACCCAGGAACACCTCCCAGCCACGATGAGGCGGTAAACCGTTGGGAGGTTTTACTACTGTACTATTTTATTATTATTATTATTATTATTGGCAGAAATTTGGTATTTTCTATAACTTTACCTTTGTTGTTCTGACATTTTGCAGCAGGTCATGGTGAAGAAATTGAATTAAGACTCCTCATGGACGGGAATATTGCTCGGACATAAAGCTGCCACTCAATGTAAAAGTAGGTGAGTCCGCACTGTGCTCAACACAGTATTGAGAAACAGAACCTTTTCAGAAACCAGGAATTTTGTAGATGGACTTATTTCCTAATATAAAGCAAGATGAGGTTAGCTTTCAACACCAGTAATAAGACCAAATTATTCCGCCAAGGACAGCGCCGTTGTAGGTGACTGAACACAGACGGCGCAAACCTTCAACATGTTTTTCTAATCCACTACGTTTCATGGAATTGAAAATATTTGTGCAGTTCTCACCAAATTAAAAATTCGCTGGCCTAAAAAAGACAGCCGTGAAGTGCTTCAGGTAGGAGATAAGATAGGCTCATGTTGTCTTCACCATCTAGGGAACTGCTAGTAATTGCGAGACGATTCCGTTCGGCAATAAATCCTTCGTTTAGGTCGATCGGGTTAAGGAGCGTTGGTGTTCGGCAGTTTTTTCTAGCGTGTTCAAAAAATGAGAAAAACAAAGTGAAAGGAAGGAAGATCAACAAATAACCTTTCCAACAAACGGCCCTACCACGCTCTGAAAAAGGCCACAACAAATATTTTGACGTCTGTGAAAGAAATTGCATTTCTTATAGTCTTGTATCAGGGTGCAAACGCTTGAGTTGAGCTTTTGAAAACAAATTTATACCGATTACAGTACCTGTGTAAGGCCAATAATAGTGCCTCTAGCAGTCGGATCCCAATGGGGAGTATAGAGACCGGTGAAGCACGGAACAAAAACCACACCTTCGGTAGAATCAACAGAACGGCATATCTCTTCCATTTCATTCGTATCCTTAATAGAAGCTCTTCACCAACTTTCAATGGTACTAAATTACTAAAGGCTTAACGAAAAGACAATCTAGAAGTACCTTAATAAACTGGAAGTTGTCGCGAAGAAAACGGACTACGTTTCCACCAATGGAACCTGAACCCTCCAACGCGTAGACGACTGGTGCTTCTGGACCAAACTGTAATAAAACTTATTGAAGCGATTCGAATTCAGTAAATCACCTATCGTTTACATAACTGCGTACATTAATGACTTCTGAAACTGGTAAGAATTCTTAAAAGTGTGCTTAAACTTTAATCGCTTCCATTGTTATTAATTATTGTGAAATATTGTGGTTTTGCTGTAAAGGACCTTCTCGACAGTTTACCACTCATCGTGGTTGGGAGGTGTTCCTGGGTGCCAGACAAAGCTGTAGAGCCGGTGGATTCATCCTTCTGGCAGGGTCTCCTAAGCCGAGGAGTCCGGCGTTTCCATCAGGAAGCCTAGCTAGGAGTAAACCAATACCAGGTTCCACCACCGTCCTGGTATCAAAGTCACATGGTGGTAAATCTCCCTCTGATTCACAAGGGCTGCGACTGCCTGTGGTGGTGAACACCTGGAGCAGACTATGGCCAGGCTGACCTTGGGATTCCAGGAAACCACAATAGCTTAACCAGCAAATCTCTAAAGAATGGAGATTATGCTGGGGCCCGCACACCAGTGAGGACGGGCCGTTCAAGCATCAGGTAAGTAAGTACTGTAAAGGACCGTAGTTCAAACCTGGAACCCGACGGTCGTTAACAGACCATTCCTGCCGATGGTTGGTTCTGGACCTACAACGAAGCATGTTTGAAAAGTTTAGGAATGATTGTGGTTGTTCATTAGGACTAGCCGATGTTGCAAAGCATAAATGTGCCGGTGCCATAAGTGTTCTTCGTGTCGCCTCTTTGCAAACAGTTATGACCAACCATTGCGGCTTGCTGGTCACCCAGACAACCCGATATTGCAACTCCCTTTAATGGACCTGAAACTACTCTAGTAGATCAATAAATATGTTTTGTATCCCCTCTATTAGGATATATTACGTCCGCCATAAAATTTTGTATGCGTAATGTTTTTTTGTGCAGATGATGTAAAGAGACGTTGTCGAATTGATCGTAGTGCCCTAACCGTCAGTAAGAGTACCGTAGACCTCAGCACTTGACATGATCCGTGGAAGAATATCTTGAGGAATGTTGAAGAACTCGCACATTTCAGTCGACCACTTCCGCTTGTGTAAATCTGAATTAAAAAACCATGTGCAAAAGCGAGGATGCGCTTCGGTTTGGCATTATCACTGAAGATCTTATATTAGCTTGTAACATATGAAATCCCCGATTTTAAATGGAAATAAAGGTAACACTTTTCCTACTAAATTTTATTATTCGAATTAAGCAGATCTAGAATCAGTACATTCTTCTCAACAAGAAATAAGTTTAAATATTTCAGTTGCCTAAAGTTCCAGGGTTGTACAAGCGATAAATTCGTTGATGGGATGTTTTAAGCCATCGTCGTTGGTGAAGCATTTCTCGCCCAGAAAGTTGTCAAGGTGCTTGAAGAAGTGACAATCGGTAGGCGATGGTCTGGTGAATATGACAGATGAGGCAATTTTCATAGCTCAACTCGTTCACCTCTTGCAGCGCTGGTTCCCAACGTGACGCCAGACGTTGTCGTAAAGAAGATCCTTTTTCTGTTGACTAATGCCAGCCGTTGTTGTTGTTGGAGTTTACGGTGCAATTCGTCGATTTGTTGGCAACACTTCTCTGCCGTAAACGTTTCGCTGGATTTCAAAAAGCTGTGATGAGCTAACCCTGCTGCAGACCACCAAACGGTCATCGTCACTTTAACCTTTTACTTACTACCTATTTTTTTTAATGGCAGGGTATGATGCGAAATAGAACTTCTATAATGCTGAGATATTTGTAATATTCCGAACCGCAGGTGACTGCGGTGGGGAACGAACGAAGGACTCGCGTAGTCTGTTGGTGAACGCGTTACTCCCCGGAAAGGACAATAGCGCGTTCGTTCCCCACCGCAGACACCTGCGGTCCGGAGTTTTGCAAATATCTCAGCATTACAGAGGACACCATAACTTTTTTGGTGCAATTTCAGCTTTGGGAAGTGAAATGGAGCCTGATCGTTATCCAACCATTGAGCTGAATCCCTCTGGTTGTCGTACTGAATCCACTTCTCGTCGCACGTCACAATTCGATGAAGAAAAGGGTCGTTTTTGCTGCGTACAATAAGAGTAGACGGCACTTCAAAGCGGTGATTTCTTTTTATTATTGCTTAACTCGCGCCGCACCCACTTGTCGACTTTCGTTGTCATTCGTATGTGGTTTAAGTGCGTGGAAATTGCTCCTGTGGTTACGCCAAATTGTTCTGCAAGCTCTCGAACAGTTGTTCGCGTGTTTGCTTCCACTGGTGCCTTCAAAACGTCATCGTCAACTTAGTTGGGACGTCCGCGGCCTTGCTTAACTTCGAGGTCGAAATCACCAGATCCGAACTTTCGCAACCATGTTAGCACTGTTTATTCACCAACACTACCTTCACCCCAAGCGTGACGGGATACCGAGGTACTGTTATGCCATTATGTCCCCTCTTTCACTCTTACAAAAAAGGAGAAGAATATCACCGTTGATTCATACTGAAGTTAAAGCCTATAAAAATGCCAATAAATCTTGAGCAAAACCTATATTAAATATAAAAAACAGATCTTGTGCTTTAAAAATATATACATTAGGCATGAGGAAGAGCAAAATTTTTTTTCAAAAATTACACGGGATCATATAACAATAAAATCGGTTGACAATTCTTGGCTTAAATCGCTCCCCAATTATTCAATTCTATTATTGCTAATTTCGGCCGAATGTTACTAAATGGCGCGTCTTTGTTGGCACTATTTCCTTTTCTCAAGCGATTTGAGCTTATTTGCAGTACAGTACTTTATTGATCTATGCAAACATCTAAGAACCTATCGGGATATTAGCAAGAATCTGTGGCAATGCCCTCTACACTTTTTTCCTGACAACTTCTATCCTTCTCATATTCCTTCGCATATTTGACTACCCATACGAGACTACGCCAACCTTTGCCCTCTTTTTCGTTGTACAATTTAATGGATAACACTTAGGATTTGTGAAAATAGAAAATCAAGAGAACAGTTCACCAAACAGTAGAGTTCTGGAAGCGTTTGTTACATCTGTTACGTGTTCTCCAGTGAGTTTCCAGATCAGCCATGTATCGACAGTTCCAAACAACAATCTCCCTTTAACACAACATTAGATCACTATTATTCATAACCTAAAATTAAAGACAAACCATCTGCAAGGGCTTCCTTTACAAGACTATTATTCCTTATGAGCCACTTGAGTTTCAAGGCGCTGAAGTATGGATGTATCGGTAGCCCTGTCTTTTCCTTGAACTCATCTTGAGACCTTGAAATCATAGTTGAAACTAATATATAGTCCCATAGAACAAAAGCCCTAAACGCACTTGCTCTCGGTTCTACTGATGCTTTCTTCTGCCAGTGCAGATGTACGACTGTCAAGCCAAACAATAGCGTTCGCTAGCGGTTTTCCCGTCTGGCTGTCCCATACTATTGTAGTCTCTGAAATAGTTCACTTAGGGAGTCGTCTAAGCAACAAAAGAATTACGTAAAAAATAACGCTTTATGGTGTGCTAAATTCCATGGCTAAAATCCGCATCTCTAACGTTTTCAAGCTCGAAAAGACCTGAAATCGTATTGAAAATAAACGCACACCTTGTAGCCTCTTTATTATTTCTAATTATTCATTAGTTTTAATTCGCATTACACTTCTAAAGTGGAAAGGGCTCATCGATCCTTGTCTGTAATGGTCAACTGGCCGCGATTTTATAAATAAAGATTTTTAAGAAAGCTGTTTTGGTGTAATGTCGTAATGAGGTCCTGACTTGATTACCACCCAACTACCTACGTGGCCAGCACTTACCAAGGATAGAGAGGGCCCAAGCACATTTTTCAATTAATGGGCACGTTACCAGTTTGGTAAGATTTCTTTACTGGAGTGCTCACGAAGAGCCAGAAACAATCTTAAGGGTGGGTGAGTGTACAGACGTTATCATGCAGATAGTTTTTAACCTTTACCGATTGGAATAATCTTTTCTATAATTCCCAGGATCGGCTTTCTCTTAACCTCGGCGTTGGAATATGAATGTGTCGTTTTCTTGTTCAGCAATCGCGAGGTTTTTAAACAGCATACATTTACTTCCATACAGAAACACAATACAATACAACAAGAGCTGACGTTTCGGCAGTATCGCTTTCTTCAAAGCCTGGAAGGGTATACTGATATACAATCTACTAGGCCAAACGCTTCAATGACACTTACAAAAAGACGAAAAACTCTTTGGTAATTACATGATCAAGAGCTTCTCGAAAAACTCAATGAATAGCAGGGACGAATGCCCGGAGGTCATACGCGACCTGATCCCGTACGTTCGCATCGATTTTTGATGTGGGATGGTGCAGTCGTCAACCACATGCGACTATAATCAGCTGTTCTAAACTTCCTCATTGGAAGTCACGCAAGGAGCGGTGGGTTTTTCGAGAAGTTGTTGATCGTGTAATTACCAGAGAGTCTTTCGTCTTTTTGTAAGTGTTATTGAAGCGTTTGACCTAGTAGATTGTATATCAGTATACCCTTCCAGGCTCTGAAGAAGGCGATACTGCCGAAACGTCAGCTAGCGTTGTATTGTATTGTGCTTCTCTATGGAAGTAAATGCATGCTGTTTAAAAACTTCGCGATTGCTGAACAAGAAAACGACATATTCAATCTTTTCTATGTTGCCAATACGTCCCTTTAAGGAGATTGTGGAGAGATCGCTCCTATTTGAGTTAGCAGAAATAAATTCTGTAGCTATTTCTAGCCTGCATAGCAATGAACAACCTTCTGCATGTCGTAATTGTGTACAGGAGCGAGCAGAATCTACCGGGTTACTCTTGCACGCCAGAGGGGCAAATAGGAGCTTTCGTGGCGAAAGCTCGAGTCACTCGACGATCAACTGGGTAGCAAGTGAATGATATAAGTGATGTTTAATAAGAATTCCTAATAAAATTACAACCGTTTAAGTCTCAGTGAGGCAGTATCCAATGAGTGACTGAACCAAACCTCGTTGATTTGCTATGCCAATCGACTTCATTTCGTCTCTTGAAATACCTAGCGATTTGAGTCTGTCAACTACGTTCCACATACATTCCTTGACTGTGTCGATGATCTCCATAGGATCCATTTCCACCCATCCTGGATTCGGAAACAGCTGTCGCACCTCAATCTAAAACTGCTTGTTTTCTTGGTCATAAAAATCTCTCCAATCATCACGGCCTTCGAGGTCGAACCATGTGTTTCCGTGGTACAAAGCAATTTTCAGATGGAGGCGGTACTTATCGAAATTCCTCAAGTTCGTTATGGCGAAACACATGGCGTCATCCTCGCGAAACTTCAATCTCTTCCTTCTTTTCTTGAAAATTGCAATATTGACACTTTTAGTGTGTTAATTTCATGCCACACAAAACAGTAAAACTCGCCCTCGATTTAAACACTGAAACGCGGTTTTTTCGATAATAAGCAGTAAATTTTCGATAGCTAGAGGACTTATGGGATTTACACGATCGCAGAATTATAGAAGAGGCTTTTCTTCATATAACTATACTTGGGATACTTGGATGGCCTGTCCTCACTGGATGTGCGAACTCCAGCATAATGCCCACTTTTTCGGAGATTTGCTGGTTTAACCACCATGGTTCCCTGAAATTCCGAGGTGAGCCTGGCTAAAGTCTGCTCTAAGTCGTCACCACCACAGACAGTCGCAGCCCTTGTGGATCAGAGGGAGAAATGCCAACAGGCGACTAATCTGATACTGGGAGATGGTGTGTCCTGGTACTGGTTTACTCTTAGCTAGGTTTAGCTAGCTAGCTAGGTTACTGATGGAAACGCTGGACTCTTTCTCAGCTTCGGAGATCCTGCTAGGGAGACGAATCATCTCACTGTCCATCGCAGCAGACACCCTGGAACACCTCCCAGCCATGATGAGGCGGTAAACCGTTGGGAGGTTCATCTAACCATAGTTATAAAATTGTTACTATACGCCGAATTTTACTACGGTTCATTTAACAAACCCATTGCTGCTAACATTTGGAACTGTTTTCAACTTATATTGAGTCTCTTTCGATGTCTCTTACATCTGACTATCCCATATCCTAGCCGTTACATATCAGATTGACCTAGGTGTGCCATACATAAGAGACGATGTTGGCTTTCTAATAAATTCTGATATTTATCTGTAATAACAGGAGTTACGGAGGTGACAAGTTAGAACTAATACAGACGAAAATTTGCTCTTCCATTTTAAAAGCAAGTAATAACTTTTCTACATTGAAATTTTCATCCCGGATTTATTGGAAATTGAAAGTCTCAAAAAAGTAGGAAGAAAAAATTTGTACGTTTTTGGCGAAGAACTTTGAATTGACAAAGTTCACTATGAGCTGAGAGAAGCTTGCTGAAAAGTGAAACTGCCCTCGGATACATATGGGTGATCTCTGAACATCCTCTGAATGATCTCTCCGTCTCTCCTTTTCTCTCTCTCTCTTTTTCGTTTTCCCTCGCTGTTTTTGACATATCTCCACCCTCAGTTCACTGAGTTTAGTCTTTACGATAAGCCCCCTTTTCACCATCTTAGATTTGTTAAAAATTATTGAATATTACAAACTCGAGTCGTTGACCACACCTTCAAATTCAGCGTCGATCAACTTTTCTTCAAGAGGGATAATGAAGACAGTGGAGATATAGAGGACATAGTGAAGCTTTCTGTGCTATTTGTTGAACATCGAGGAAAGAAAATCGGAGGAAGAAGGAGAACTCCAGCAGTCGTGGTGAGATGAGTAATGGCACGCAATCTCTTCCTCTTCGATGAAGGTAAAATGGGTGTGAATGGACACCTAGAAGATCAGTGTAGTAAGCCGAAAAATTTCTATAAATTGTCTATGACTAATATTTGGCAAGTGGTCATGAACGAGTCTGACAGATATGTTTTCTACAGAAGAGTGTGTCGTACGAAGCGATAAGTGTTGATGAGATGGGAAGTTTCCTCACTTCCTACTTGACAAGTATTGTTCAGCTGCAACATTTGAAGGTTTATTGGCGTTTAAATGCTACTGCTGCATGTCATCTTGTTGAATCCCCTGTCACAATGAGGTTTGGATTTGAAATGTCGACAACGCAAAGTGTAACGGACAAGACAGGTTGGAAGAGATTAAGCTGCTAGACTAAGGAAGGAACTAAGGCATAATACTCCTGGTAAAAAGTCGCATTGACGAACCCGATGCGCCATTTAGATGCGGAGTCGTACTAAACCCGCATCTCTCAGAGGGACAAATGCGGCTTCAAATTATCCAAAATGCGCTCAAGAGTTGGCCACGCCTGTAGAGTTGTAGTATATAGTGGTGGTGATTTCTACATAAGGGAGATCTGAGATACTGTTACCAGTAGAGCTCAAGTGAGAGAAAGGGGGCAATGATATCGCCAAGTGTAGGAAACTAAGGAATGGAAATCTCAAGCAAATGGTGATGCACTGAAAGTTGGGTAGAGGACAGCTAATAGCCTTGTAGAATCGTAGCGGCATAGCGCTGTTGAAGACTAAAGATAAGAATGAAAATAAGAATAAGAAGAATAAGATAATGTTAGCATGATGCCCACAGTTCATATTGTGATGGTTCTCTTACAACTTTTCAAATTCGCGGGCGATTGAAGGAAGCATTTTTGTTCGCGTACAAGCGTTTAAAGTTGTATGTAAAAAATGTTAGCTCTACTTAGAATATAAATCTTGCATGTATGCTTAAAGTTCAAAGCGTAGACGGCGTAAAATAAATGTAAAATAAAAAGGTAATGTTCTCCTATTATTTAATTTACATGGCCCGTCTTCACTGCACGGATCCCAGTAGTTTTGCATACGATTGATTTCATTGCATCTGTCGTGCATTAAAGTCTTTGAACTTTTTGTACATTCGTTTGTATACGGCTTGAGAATTTTCGTCTTTGCGAATACCTGGTCAACTCGATTCTCTTTGCAGTCCTGGATAGCCGGGCTGCCAAGCTTCCGTTTGGACTGGAGAGAATGGATTGATCGCAGGCCAAACTGCTATCAATTTTTCTAAATTGGAAATGCCTGTGGGGCTGTGGCAGGATTGAACTAGTACCACGGTCGTGATGAACGGCATCGCTATGACTGGCTAACCACTCCATATATAGGGCATATATCCCGTGGATATGTATTAGTTGAAAATCGCAGGGTGTGGAACAAATGTAAAATAAGCGATTAGCAAGATTCGAAAACTGTTTTCCTTCTCGCTAGGATTTTATCAGCTTTCAAGGCTCCACTCTTCTTTGTAAATGGTCCAATATATACTCAAATTAATGCTGATGTATTCTGAAGTTTCTGTGCCATTTAAGTTTCAAAGTTCAAGTAGTTGGGAACCCTTTGCATTCAGAGACCACTTAGAATTGAGTCTCTCTGGAAAATACCCTTAAGAACTATGTTCTACGTTTTTTAAGACAAGGCTGTTCAGCCGTCTCAAGACGAAAGAAGTATTCAAATGGCACAGAAAAAGAAAACAGTTGACTTCCAACTTAGTCAACCCAATGCTCTTCCTACCTTGTTAACCTACGTTTGCAGTAATACACGCTAGTAATTTTGAAAATTCACTGAAGGAAACGTCGATAAAATCAGTAACCATGCCATAAATCTGGTAGACATAACTAGCCTTCTATTTTTTTACGACTTACCAGCTCATTTTACTGAATCTTAAGTTCTAGGTGTACCAAAGTTGTGCTCTAATCTTGTTGTCTGAGCTATTGCCTAACGTAAATGTGCCATCTTTCTCGTAGTAAGTTCACAAACCTGATGACTAGCCACTAAGTCTCCACTATCGCTTTCGAATACAAGGAAACGACTACTGGAAGTCCCTTGGTCGATGGCGGCTAGAAGAACCATACCCGTTGTCGTAGAAAACAATCTAAACAAATTCATAAGTCTGCAAGAAAAAAGTCATACGATCCACTTTCACAACCAGCGATCGCAATGAAGAAATTTGCCACCACATTGATGCTTAGCGGCTAGTCGCATGCCGCTACACATAACATACAAAATAAATTGCATAAGGACCATCAAAGAACAGTAGCTTTCTCAGGTAAAGAATTTTCAGGTTGGACAACAAACGAGAGTGCAAGAAAAAAACTGCTGAAGATGACAAAACACGTAAAATTACCTGTGCGAGATGAATGAAAGAGAGCTTTTTTTTACGCCACTGAAGGCAAGGTGCGTCCATCACGTTATAATTCTCAATTTCCGTGTTTTAGAGTAAGGATTCGGGGGCTCATACTAGTGTACCCTCTGGACCAGAGGGAAAATGATTTTTCAATCTCAGAAATGCAACGAATTTTAGGAACCGGTAAGGATTGCTTGGAAATGATGTCATTGGAAGTTGAGTTTTTTACCAGGCCAGAGATGAAACCGTCGATCAGCAGGCAAAGGACGAATGTATGTCAGCTGTGTAATAGTGACGCGTGCATTGCTAAAAGAAATAGGTCATGTAGGGTACTCACTCTTTCACCGGTTCTGCTACGTTCATTTCCAATTCTTCACCCGACAGTCTCACTATAGTTCCATTCATTTTCCACTTTATGCCAAAAAGTCTTGATAAAAGTTGTAGGATATCGCCAACAGAAGACTGTAGGTTGTTAACACGGTGTCCGAAGACTTATGTTCCATAATGAAACTATGGCATCTGCTGAACACAGATATTGTGGCGCTGTGCTTTAGTGGACTCTCCCATTATAAATGCACAGAAGTAAGGAAAGTATCACCTTGTTTGCTTTGTTCTCAAACATGTCTCCACAAGGTGGGGCTAGATCGATGTCAAACTGTTTTTTTCGTCTCTGAATCACGGTAATTATGGGCTTTTTTGTAGCTTTCCTAATCCCCTTTGCTGAGTGACTAGTCGGACACCCTGTATAGAGAACATTCTCCACGAATATTGGAACGTTCTCTATGTAGAACAATTATAGCCTTATGCCTTCTACAATACCTATCTATTCGTAATCGTCATACATCTATCCTTGCACATTCGGTAAATTATCTCTTAACAACCGTTTCATGCAATTGCCTCGCAGGTGGCTGGAAAAAGGGAATCAGCAGCAGCCAGCTGAATGCACTTTTCAGCATCTGTCGCTCCAAAAAAGTCTCCGAACAGACACCTGCACCATTCCACATGCAACCCCTCTCCGGACACCGCCTTCAGTTCTCTCTAGCAAAGCTCCACCCACTTCAGATGTAATACAGGCAGCTCATAGGGCTGGTCCTGAAATCTTAGCCGCGTTCGACCGGTCTGCTCCCGGTCCCTCAATTCCTTAGTGCTCTAACACCAGTGTCCGCGTTAATTCCTTCAAGTGTATCACTTGTTACCATTTCAATTCCACCTTTATCCACCCAGCTTACATATCGCCGAATATCACTTGTTACCATCTCAATTCCACCTTTATCCACTCAGCTTACATATCGCCAAATATCACACATTATTGTATTACCGTTGCGTTAATCAGACAGTTGTACTGTTATGCCAATCTCTTCACTCATAAGCAGCCCGAACATCAGTGACCAGGCTTCATCTATTCATTACCCATATCATCGTTGCATTAATTACACAGTTGTACCGTTATCCCAATCTCTTCAGTCACAAGCAACCTGAACACCAGTGATCAGGTTACGCCTACTCACAACCTGTATCATTGTTGCATTATTTGTAAAGTTGTATTGCTATGTTTGTTGTATAATTATGATAAACGGTTTAATTACCCAAGTTTGAGGTTTCCGGTATTGTGACTGCTACCTACAAGAAGTCCCGCGTGGCGTACACAAAAGCGAGCAACAAATTCCGAGCGAATCGTCTTAACTACTTGGTATTCCTATATAATCGAGCCGTCCCACCACAAATTCTTGGTGCATTGGCCGCTTGAAAGGATCCATCAGGTCAAGGGAGTTACAACCAAGTACGTTAACTCTTCAATCATGTCCAACCTATCACTGGCAAGTCACAAACGGATACTCACGCAGTATACTAACCAATTGCAAAAAGTTCTAACCCGATTCAAAGACGCGCAGTTAGAAGAAATCAGCGTTCAAAACCTGCAAGATGAGATAACGCCCACCGTTATTCAAACAAGCCTACAGCAGTTAGAGGAAGCAGTGGCAGCGTTAGAAAACATGACCACAAAGATTCAACACGCACTAGATGAACTCGCTACCATGTTCGAAAAGTCACACCCAACGTCACCGAATATTGAAGAAGAGTTCGCACAGTACTCAACTACTGCTGAAGAAGCCATTAGCAATACTTTCGAATACCTTGTACTCCTTCATGCTCGGATCCATAGCTTCAAGGCTCAAGCTGAGCTTCTCAACACATCCTACAAACACTCCACTACGAATAGTAGTAAAGATGAATCCACCGTCACCGCGGTCGTGAAAAATCTGGAGCTACCCACAATCCTAATCCCAACATTCAATGGCGACATCTGGGACTGGG